ACAGACACACAGACACACACACACACACACCCACACACACCCACACTCCCACACACCCACACACCCACACGCTCACACGCTCACGCGCTCACACGCTCACGCACACGCATACGCACACGCACACACACACACCCACGCACACGCACACGCTCACACACACACACACTCTCTCTCTCTCTCACACACGCACACGTCAGTACACCTCTTCCATGTCCCCTGTTGCCTTTGTCGCCGTACTTCCAGACTGGAGAGGCCTGCTTGTGCCTTGTCAGTCCCCCCCGGAGTGGCGGCAACGCCGCGTCGGGTTTCCTGCTTTGGCTCATGTGGATGCCTGGCGGGGCGCCATCTTGCAGGCGAACAGGGCGCCCTTTTGTCACCCAATGGCTGGTCCCCTTTTGTGGTCTGCGGCCAGTTTCTCTTTGGCAGCAGGCCGACCCCCGTTCCGTGGTGGGTTAAAGGGAAACAACCGAATCCATTTTCTGACTTCCCAGAGGCTCCCAGAGGCTCCTGAACCTTCCAATGGAAGACCCGACTCCTCCATTAGACACCCCGGAGGTAGTTGGGGGTCTCAAAACCAGGTCTGTTTGAACGCGCTAAATGAATCGGGAGCCTCTGGGTTGGATCACCCCCAGAAACCGTCAAAATAAGGACCCCGGTAAAGCCCTTTATGGGGTGCCAAAAAAGGCCCGGCGCCTGAGGAAATATTACCTGATGGACGAGGGCGTGGCCAGGGCCTTGGATTGAAACCGCGCGGTTGGCCCGGCCTGGTGACATTTTAAGGGTAGCTTCCATTTCCATTCTTTCCGGGGATCCTTCTTTCCGGAAAACCTCCGGAAACCTAGGGAAAACGGCTGGTTGTTGAAAAGAACAATCCTGGACCCCCAAAACGAGCACAAATTTGTGGCAAACCCTTCTTTCGAGCAGTTTCTGCTCATACGAGCACTTTTTCCTTATTCGAGCACTTTTTAAGAAAAAGACAAAACTCGAGCAGAAATCAACTTGCATGGGATTTAGATGCTTTGGAGCGTGTGAGTTGTGCTGCGGCGGCCCACACCCTCCGCGCAGCAGGGGGTGGGGCAGGAAATTGCTCGAGCTGTGCTGTTCGGGCAACAAATGCGTGTTTAGTGGAAGCCTAACAAACCTGCACATGCTTGACGCGTTTTGGCATTTTGAGGGCAGTTTGCAACCCGCAACCTCGAGCGCAATTTCCCGCAACCGAGCGCAATTCTGAAAAGTGTCAGCGGGTCCGTTGTCCCGCGACCAATAGCGCGCAAAGATATCCAGGTGCTCGAAAATGAAGATGCGCTCTCCACTGTGCACACATGTGACATATTGAGGCACGCTTGATGGGGGTGTGTGAGGTTTGGCGCCTCCAACATGCAATGATGCGCAAGCAAGGGCGCTCACTCGAGCACTTATTTGGCCTCGAGCGCATTTTGCCTAAACGAGCGCTTTTGGGAGAAAAGGGCACTTTTTCCCTCGAGCAGAAATTTGTGCTCGTTTGGGGGTCCAGGATGGTTGAAAAGAATGGAGAATCATCCCCTAGAGACATACCTTCTTTCGCTTTCCCCCCCAGATGTGGAAAATCGCCCAAAGACAAGCAGCCAGACCCAGAGGGTCCAAGTATACCTTCTAAGGAGGTACTTAGACCCCTTTTTACTCCCAAAAGCCATCCTCGTGAGGTACTTGGACCCTCTGGGAGATGAACAAGCAAGCAAACAAACGATTCACCTGGCGTAGAAACAAACAACCGACGGACAGAGGTTTGACCTGACGTTTTCTTCGTAACCAAAGCTGTTGACCTACTTGTCAGGGACCCCCGCGGAGCTGTCAAGGCCTGTGTTGCCTCAATGGGAACCTGGATGCATAAACCCTGATCGATTACTTGGTGTGTGTGTGTGTGTGTCCGTCAGTGGGGTTCATCTCTTGTGGAGGGCTAATACAGTTGTATTATAAACGCTATGTCCGATGTGTGGCGCTCAGAAGGCGTAACTCCCAGCCCCCAACCCTTGAATTCCTGGAGGTTTGTAGGGTGGGTTGCGGCCGTCTGTTTCTCCGGAGAAGTCGGTTGAGAGGTCATGAGGGATCTAGCTGGTATTGCCAGCCCCGAAGACGCATCCTCCCAATGCTTCATTAGGGCCAAGAAGGCCAAAGAAGGCTAAATGGCTGTGGTTGTCAAAACCGTTTTGGTTGATCACATTTTGGTTGGTAGGTGAATTCACCACCCATTTTAGAGCCTATCTTAGTGGTTGGATTGAATCGGATGTTCACTGGGGGTACGATTTGGATTTTGACCCTTGGCCAAATAACGCCTGAACGGTTTGGGGGGGGGGGGTCGTTAGTGGGGGTCAATTGCGGGCTCGTTCTTGGCATGTCCTTTGGCCACACACATTCAGGTGAAGGCTCGCATTCAAGAAGCTGAGAAGAAGGAGGATTGAGAAGTGGGGGGACTGCGTGCTCGGGCTTCATTTCATATTGAGATCCTAAGGGACACGCATGATTGATGGACCGTGGTTGAGAAAGAAAAGGTGTCCCACTAAAGAGGGAAACCTTCTGCAACAACCCGCTAACAATACAGGTTGATTCATCCAGGGTTGATATATGAATTGTGAGCCTATTCATGAGCCTGTTCCGCAAGTGCATACTCAATGTTCATGCAAGACAAGTTTGCAGTAATCGAGCAGCTTGCACGTGAAGCTGCACCAAAAGTGGCTGACAAGAAGTCTTCGAGTTCGCCTTCTGAAAATTTCGCATGTTCTCCGCGGTGAGTATACCAATGTATTAGCTCCTCGAACCACATCAGAAAAAAAAGAGAGAGAAAACAAAACGCATATGTATTTTTGCCCGCACAAACAAAAGCAGCGGCTTGTGCCATCTGTCACTTGGAGTTATGTTTGGGGTTTGATGCTTGAGACGGCCCCCATCTGCCATTTGTGCCATGGTCAACGCAGCCTGTTACTGGGGTTGGTAGGGATGGTCATCAACGTCTAATAAGGCATTTTGGCGACCAAGCTCCAGGTTTCGGGCAGCCATGACCCTGACATGAGTCTTGCCCATGGCACGTTTGGGCGTTAGGGCGCTTTCACGAAGTTGAAGTGTCCGACCTGAGGAAGCCACCAGGTTTCCTGCCGAGCTCGCTTGCGACCGGCAAGCGACCGTCTCACGCAGGGCTCGCAGGGTTCGCCGATTGGGGAGTTCACCCATCGAGGGGTGAAACACGGAAAAATCCAGCCTTGGGGCCACGGGGCCTTGGAACTACTTCTTAGTCCAGGCCCTTCCTCGTCCCCTACCCGCGTGAACAGGAAGCTGACCTAAGCGATCTCGTGACCAACTTAAGGGTGCTTGAACTAGGAGCTCTGTTTCGGGGTCAAGACGGCCCGTGACTAGTGCGTGCGTGCGTGCGATGCACGGCCCTGCTTTGGAAAAGACGAACAGTGAGCATCCCAATCCCCACTAAAATAGACTAAAATGGGTGGTGCACCTATCCCAAAATGGGATCCCATTGGTTTTGAAGCATGGCCATGTGGAAATCCGCCCTAGATCTCATGTTATTTTTGTTAGACCATGTCAATACCTGATTTTGATTATGGCTCTATCCGGATAGTGACCTTGGGGCTGTGGGGGATTTCTTCTCAAGCGTGAGGTCCCATCTTGGCCTGAGCCATATAAGATAGTATGAGATGCACACACGGAGTGAAGTGGAGTTTCACGCGCATTGCACCCCGGTTTTCTAGATGTTTCTAGTCCCATGCGGCTGATTATCATGTTTGGGAGCGGTTCGCAAGGCTTCGGTCATGGCTTCGTCGAAGCCATGTGGCAACTTGCAGCTTTGGCGACGAAGAGACTCGGAAGATGGCTTCTGCCAGCTGGGGTGTTTCTTTCCACATCTCGCGAGTCCATGGACGTCAAACTTGTTAGAAAGACCATTTTGGGGGGAAATCGAAAGTTCTGACTTTGTTTGGCCCTTCCACTCGAAGACAAATTTAATATTGTGGGGTGATTGCGTGTGCCAGGAATGGTCCAATCCGCCTGTGTGCTGCGTCCTCTCTCTCTGAGTCGGTTCCACGCTTCCCCTGTCGCTCCTTCACTCACCTCCACCTCCACCTCCGCTTACTCGCTCAAACACTCATTCACTCACTCCCTGACTCACTCCCTCAGTCACTCACTTACTCCCTCACTCACTCGCTCGCTGGCTCGCTCACTCACTCGTTCACTTATTCCTTCGCTCATATACCCTCACGCAGTCGCTCACTCACTCACTCACTCACGCACGCACGCACGCACTCACTTACTCACTCACTCAGTTTTACTCACTCACTTTCGTTCATTCACTTTTACTCACTCACTTTCACTCACTTACTTTGAATCCCTCGCCTTCACTCACTCACTTTCACTCTCTCGCCGTATTCACTTACTTTCAATCACTCGCTTTCACTCACTCACTTTCACTCACTCGTCTTATTCAGTAGCTTTCATTCACTCACTTTCACTAGCTCAATGTCTCTCACTCACTTTCACTCATTCATTTTCACTCACCCCTTACTCGCTGACTTTCACTCAGTTTCTCTCACTCACCTGCATTCACTCGCTTTCACTCACTCGCTTTCCCTCAGCCACTTTCACTCACTTGCTCTCACTCACTCCATTCCGCTTCACTCCACTCCACTCCACTCAACTCCGCTCCACTGGTGGAAGGTCTGCCCATTTTGCGTAACATTGGCTCGACTCAACAGCCTGGCGCTCGGTGAGGCCCATTTCAGGTGCAAAAAATGCATCCGGCATCGACCAACAGACCCCTCAATCCCTCAATTGACGGCACATCACGATGGGGGCAGCCCTCTTTTTTTTGCGACGGTTTCTACAGGTCAACAAGAAACCCACCACCTGGAAAGGGCATTACCTATGAGACACAGCTGTGTGTACGGCCTTTTGGTTTTTCTAGGCACAGGCAGTCATGAGAACATCCTGCAAGCTTCAGCTTTTTCGTCTTTCGCATTGCCATGGCGGGTGAGGCGCAGACTCCGACGGCGGGTTTGGCTTGCAGCAGTTCCTCTGTTTTGGTCTTTAAACTTCAGCTAGGTCCCCCAGTAGTGCCCCTTCTCTCTCCTTTTTTGGTTGGGAGGGTTCTCCTACTAAAATAGACCACAGAACAAAGGGTACCCTTATTCCAACCTCTCTGCTGGAGGACCTAGTCAGTGGTGCCCTTTCTTCATGTTTGCGGAGGGTTGCAGCATGTTCAGCAATGGAAGATGTGCGAATGAGCATCGATTCGCCTGCGAATTCTCCGCTTTGACCAACGATTTCAGATGCCTCGCAAAGGCTTAAAGGTGGTCGATTCCGTCGAAGACCAAACCACAGTGTTTCCTTCGTAAAGGGCTCGAGAGGGCAGTACGTACACAAATGGCAGTGAATGGGAGGTCCCTGAAAAGAGGTCGGTGGACATGAATACCCACCCAAATGATGTCCACCAAAGCGTCGGGTCCCGCATCAAAATTCACCAAGGCATTGCGCTCGCGAGTTCAACGCCTTCAAGAGATGGCCATTAATTTTAAGAAGGAACCACCACCAAAGTGAGTTGGTGGACATAAATCCCCCACCGTGTCCACCACAGGGTCCCTGGTCAAAATCCACACCCGGATCAATCGCAAAAGTCGGCCCCTCGTTTTGCAAAAGGATCTTCAGCGAGGCCTTGGCTGCCTAGGCAGCCACGGAGTTGATTTACACCGCTTGAATGTTGGTTTCATCGGCTAGTTGATTGTACCCATGTGAGCCAAACCCACGCGAAACGGCACGTCTTTCTGTTGCGCGGATTTCTCTTTTGGAGTGTTTTTTGTCGGTTGGAATCCCACAAGGAAGCTCCGCTGCGGTTTTGTTTTCGTATGTTGGCTATCTTTTAAATGGGAACTCCCCTCCCCCCCCCCCCAAATGTGTTTTTTCCAAAAGAAACCCCCAAACCGGGCCTCACAACACCCACATCCATCTATATATCCATGTGGTTTTTTGGCTTGGGGAGGGAATCCAAAGAGAATGCAAACATGGCGCCGTAGGGAGTGTGGTGAGGGGGCGTCCCCTCTTGCTACATACCCTTAGCCGTACTATGTTACCCATGCCCCAGGTTCAGCCCCCATTAACATGATGGCAAGGACCCAATTTGGATGATGACAATCCTTAGGTAAACAATGGGGGTCATATGAATCCCCATTGTTTTAATGGTGGCAACTGAACCCCAGGGCATGTGTAACCGAATTCGGAGTCTTTGGGGTGTTGCCCTTAACAAAAAAACAATGCTCCTTGCCCGCCTCAGGCCTCCAATGGGTCCGAGGAGACAGCAGTCAAGGGGACGGGCAGGTTGGGGCGGGGGGGAGGTTTTGCTGCTTCAGTCTTTGGTTATTTAGCTGTGGGTCAACACCAATGGTAGCATTTTGGGCTAGGTGCACCATCCATTTTAGTGGGGATTGGGATGTTCACTGGGGGTGCGGGATTTCGACCCATGGTCATTTGACTGTTTGGTAACTTCACTATTTGAATATTTGACTCCTTGATTGTTGGGCGGTTTGGCTGTTTGCCCAGTTTTCTTGCGTCATGGGTCCACGGTTGGCCGGCCTTAGCATTGAACATACTCAGCTGAATTGTAAGGGTTGCACCCCCACCCCTCGTCCACGCCCAAGGGGCAACTTGTTTGATACGATTCCCATGCGCCGGAACTTGCTGCGCAACCAGAAAAGCAGTAGGTTGGGGTCGCATGGAAACAACCTGCAAGAATGCCACCCCTTTTTTCAACTTGGTTCAAACGGAGACCAAGAGAGATTTCGACACATGCATTGGAATCCATTGAGTTGATTGTTGAAAGGGGACTAGACAAATGCCAACCATGTCCCTTAGACTCTGCGGTTCAATGCTAAGGATACCCCCAACCCAAATCTCAAGCACGGCGTTTGCAATTTCTGGTGTTGTTGTTTGGCTATTTCTATGCCAATTAGAGGTGACTTAGCAGACCTTGCCCTAGGGCCTTGGAAATCAGCAAGTCGCAGGCGGTGAGCAAAGATTGATGCCCGGACTTGGTTTCATGTCCGACAACTGGTACATAGTCGAAGAAAGAAGACCGCTGTTCTCCTTGAAATCGTCCCAGACCTTCATGCTTACGTTTCATGGTGACATGTTTCTTGTGTGGTTTATAGATTCAAGTTTCAAACACATCTTGCTCCCGTGTAATTATCTAGATGGGGCGATGCCATCAATATTTGCCTGGCCATGAAGTGTTTCACACCTCTGCGAGGATCGTGCGACGGTCGCCGGCCCTAGTGGAGGGGGCGCTGTTTTCTATGTCACACGGGAGTGTCCCCACCATTTGTGGTTCCATTTCCCTTTTCTAGATAAAATGGAATTGGGGCCCCCACCCCCCTCTCCCTTATGGTAGGGGGGATACGGGGAATCACACAGAGCGTATTTCAAATTTCGGGTTCGGTTGTGAGGCAAGAGGGAACCACGAGACATGTGTTTCTGTTCCCTGACCTGTCAGGTTTTCTGACACGGGCCGAAAGAAGCGGGAGCGCTTGGCCTGCAGGTTTCCACAGTGCCGCAAGTTTTTCGTGGAAGGGAGAAGGGGATTCGGGGTTCGGATCCTGTAAGCCCCTGGGTCCTTAGGTCCGGACTCCGTATGCCAAGGGGGAGCATCTTCGGATCTCTTCGGGGCTCGCCGAAGCGACGTAGTTCGCAGGTTGGCCCTGAAACCACTTCCAGTTGTTTGGGGCCTGATGCTCTCAGGGTTCGCTGTTGCTTTTTCGACCGCGGTTGCTTTTTCCACATGTGGTTCGGCTTCTTTTGGTGATGTGTCATAGACACCGAGGAACCGCGCGTCACAAGTTTGACCAAAAACGAGATCGGCCACTTTTCCTTTTGGGGCCCCGGGTTTTTGGGAATTCCCGACCTGGTTTTTGGACCTCATTTGCTTTAAGTATATTTGTCATTTTACCATGTTGATTACAAAGGGAATCTATCACGACTACTGGACGTATGTGTATGTTTTGAGTGGGGGGGCTGAAGCAAATGGATGCAAAAGGTGCCGCCAGTTGTTGATGATTTATCTTGGTGGCTCCCAGCCATCCGGTTCCTTAGCTTTTTAGTTCTTTTTAGTGTTTAGTGGTTGGGTTTTCCGTATTTCGCCCACTAAAAGTGAGTCAAACTTTTAGCGTGGGATCTGAGGACAGCCTAGTTATCTCAGGGTCATTCCCCTTTTCATGGTTGTCTTTCGGACACATTTTTTCATTTGTGCTTATTGTGGTTTAGTGGTTGAAATTTCTGAAATCCAAATCCACTTTGCTAAAATTTAAAAACCAATCTACAGTCAACCGAGTTAAGTGCAGTTTTCCAGTTAAGTGGTTGAACCCAGGGAATCCCTTCCGTCAACCAAGTCTTCTGGTTGAACCAGTGCCTGCTGGAGGAAGTGCAGTTCGTTGAGCACCAGGCGGGTTCATGGTTCCGACCCAGAAGAGCGGAGGCAGAGGTCCCCCAGCAATTGGTGCCCGACCTCTCACCCATTTCTTTTTTGGTTGGGAGGGCAAGCCCCTACTAAAATAGACAAAACTGAAAAACAGTTGGGTACCAACTTATTCTAAGCTCCAAAACTGGACCCAGGGCTAGAAACCTGCGAAGTGCTGGGTCTAAAGTCAGAACTTCTCGGATTTCGTTTCGAGGATGTCACTTTCGTGGACCCCCTGGTTGCGAGACAATGTCCACAGCCACACCCCTGTGTTGTCCTGTGATGAATGAACCTGCGATTTCCAGCCAATGACATGTATTTTTTTGGGGTTCCCAGATGGGTTTGGCGAAAGAAATACACACCTGTTGCCTCCCCAGTCCTAGAAAGAAGGCCAAGTGTTCTTTTACTTTCCCGCTATCTGGAGCACGCAGACATCTCAAAACAGGAATTGGGATCTCCCCAATGTTTTTTTTGTGGTTTCCTTTTTCGGGCTTTCTGGTGCTCAGGGAATCAGGGAATGACCCCTGTAAACCATCCAACTGGTGATTTCCTAGGGAATGCCTGGTTTCATGCCCACATTCCCTGAGCACCGGCAAGTTGGAGTGATGGGGTTTCGGACACTTCCGTGCAAATCCATGAGCAGAAAGCACATTGCGCGCATGTTTGTTGTCCTTTGGAGATCCATGGGGGTGGGGTGTGGAACATTTTTCACGCGTTTCAAGGCCTCTAGGTCAAAACAGGCGGTGTCCAACCCTGGAAAGGTAAGCAGGTCCTTCTGCAGAATCAGTTCAAAGGTATCCCTCCCTCCCGTTCCCACCGACATGGCACCGTGCCTTCCCACTGGAAGGAAGGGTACCCCCTTGTACGGAATGATTACGTAACTAAGGTCGACCCCCTAATATTTTGCCTCGTTGTCCGGTCTTTTGGTGCAATCCAAGGATGAACGGTGCAAGTGGGGGGGTTTGTCCAAGTAGCGCAAGCACGCCATTTGGATGTTCAACTAACTTAGTAAGTAGGCTATAACCATGGTGATTACTTGGGAAACTGGGGTTGGTCCCCTTATAACCATGGTTGCAACCTACTTACTAAGCTGGTTGAACATCAAAGAAAGGATTATTTTGTCCCGCAGGCAAAGTACCAGTCTTGCTGCATGAAAGGCAACACGCTAGAAACGGCGCCTGCAACAAGTGCTTTTGCTGCAGCACATGTATGTAGAATCAATGTTCTAAGCCAGAAACCTTTGTCATGACTGCTGGCTATGTGTCAGCGATCTTTGGATTCCCCAACTCAGTTCCAGGTTTTTCTGACTAACCAAGCTTTCTGTGTGAACACATCAGGAAGTCTTCCGCTTGTCAAACAGGAAGCGGGACGACCTTGGTATAGGGTGGAGGTGCAACCACATGCAGATGCGTCCGTGCTCATATTATGCATATCTATATATATATATCATGTATGTATGTATGTACGTATTTATATATATATATATGTCATATGCAGTGCATGCGCGTCAACCCAGATTCGATGGCACCTCTTATTTGAAGCCCGGGCTGGCATTTTTTTACTTCAGGAGCCGGGCCTACGGCGACGGCTGGCCGCGAATGGAGGCCTGTGGGATGTGCTTCCAATTCTTGGCTCTGAGAAAGCCCCTTCGGTGGGTCCACTCTACGATGCGAAAGACATAGGCAGTGCTACACATACAGGCGCACCACCATTCAGAAATTCATTTCAATCTCGATGCCTTTATGATTCACAGATACCGCCTACCAGTACAGCACTATTGCTGCACGTGTCCCTGATTAATCCCCGTGGGTGTCCTTTTCCAGGGTCACTGCAAGCAGACTTGGAGATGGAATCCGGGACCTGCGGGTGAAACCAGAGCTACGAGGGTGTCGCAGATGTGTCTTTGAAACCCCAAAATCGTTTGGCTCTTTGTTATGGGTGTCCTTTTGGGGTTAGATTGGTTAGAAATTGATGGGTTCCACTGGTTTAGATTGGGTTGTATGCCCTGTTCATTTACTGGGGCCCTCGAGTAACAGGCTCCCGCCGACCTTCCGCCGATCAGGCTGTTGGTCGGGGCTCTCTCGGACTGGCTCTCGGCATGGGAGCCAAATTGCTGCCTGGACGGCTTGCGCCCAATTCACATCAAGCTGCGTCCGACGCCAGTGCCCGGAGCTCCTCCCGGGACTAGCCCTTCCCAGGCTGACCGGTCTGGGACTTGGGACGGTTCTGGGGACCGATCCCCACGGTCCTGGGAGTCCCCGGACCAGTCCCAGGACTGGTTCTGGGAATCCACTTTTCGTGTGTTTGGGCGTGTCTCCAGACACAAAAACTCACCAATCACTTCATTCCAGTTGCATCCCACGCCGGTCCCCTCTGCAGGAGGCCAGGACAGGAGGCAGAGGGTCAGCGAATTTTCCAAAGGTCGCCTATGGCCTTTCTTCTAAGCGGCTTCGACGCAAGTGCAGCAGGAACTTCCAATAGAGTCGCCTTCAGCCAGGAAGAAGAAGCTCTGTGAAACGTGCGTCCGAACTGTTGGGTTTGTGGGTGGCGTCAAGTTGCTTACCTGGCCACGAGTGCCATAGCAAGGCACCGCATGGGCCGAGTCTCATTGGATTTTTAGACCGTTTGGCTGGAATTTTGAAGGAAACCAACAGGGAACCGTGGCCAAAGAAGAAGCTTTAGAAGCACAGTGATGGATTCGAGAACAAAACACGGTTTGGGGAGCTTTACCATAGAACTTGTTGTGGTTTCTTGAAACACGAGGATGTTGGAACAAACGCAGTCTGAACATGTTGAACCACGTAGTTGGCTCATCCAGGGAGTACTGCCCTGGAGGCCTTTGGGGCATGCCAGCTTCACCACAGGTTTCCTTGACAATAATGGCAACATTAATTGCAAACTATTTGGAGAGATCTTTGCCCACTGTTGGTGTACATTACCTTTGGCTATGGTTCTGAATGGTACACGTTCCATGCACTTGGGTAGGCATAAATCCGCATGTGTCCTGCAAGGTGTCCACCCAATTTAACATCTCGGCTGAATCCTTGAAAGGACCACAGCTCAGGGGTACTCTCAAAGACGTTGCGCACCCCGCTTGGCTGTCTCTGTTTGGTAACTAAGTAGCCTCCGTTCAGAATCCTGCTTGTTTTCAAACGGCACAAGAAACGGCCTTGGCTCCACATGGGATCCTAGGGTCATAAACTCAGTACCCATGCTTCAGGGGTGCTTGTACGTCCCCCTTTTACAAAATTCTTGGGCAAATGAACCCAAAAAGGCCTGCTGATCTTCATAGCCCTCTCCCCCAAAGGGGCATTCACCCCTCTTCGTGGAAACCAGGGAAGCCAAGGAACCGGTATGAACCAGTATGTGCTTCCCTTGGATGTTCAGGAGGTTCATATTGCCACCCAAGCCAATGGCGTTTTCGGAGGCCACACTGCCGAGCCTCCGATCTCGAGCTCGCGGCAACCTAGCCCAGAGCCCGGCGGTCCACAAAAAATCGCCGGAATCGAACTTGCGATCGGTGCGAATGCGGGGAACGTGACATGGAGTCTGACCCCAACCATCCAAGTTGCCAATTGGTGGCCTAGGGGAAAGCCTGGGGAATGAACCCCTTCCCTGAGCACCAAGCTAAAGATGTCAGGTGTAGGGAGAGATAGAAAAGGGGGCCAGGGCAAGGAAGGCCCTTGGGTGCCTCCTTCTGACCTTGATCCTCAAAGAAGTATGACTCTATCCAAATTGAGAACCAGAGAGCAGATGCAATCAACTATCTACTTGTTCCCCAACAGCTGAAAGCTTTGGGTCTTTTCCCAACTAAACATGAGAGTGGTTCGGGGCAGCTTTCAGGGAAGGTTCCGGAAGGGTTCCGGTGCTGTTGGGGATACCAACTGGGCGTATGGTTTTTCTTTTTTCTTCCAGTGCAACTTTCGGCCGCAAAGGGTTAGAGCCCCCAATCGGGAGATGTCGGGACCCTTGGCGCCGGCTGAGACTTAAAACAAGCCCCCCCCCCCCACCCCCCCCGCCTTCTCCGCAAAGACTATAGACATCTCCACTCAGCCCAAAAGTTCCGTTAACTTCCATTCGCTGAAGCCCCCTGGAAAAAATGAACATATTTCCAGTAGTGATAGATTCGGTTTAAAACCAACAAGGGAAAGTATACAATATTCTTAAGCCAATGGAAGTTAAAATCCTTGGAGGATGGGTTTTTTGAGGGGCTCACTATTAAGATTGGCCCGGCAACTCAGCAGGTCTTGCTTGTCTTGTCTTGCAGTTGGGTGGAAGGCAGACTCTTCATTGCCGCATGGTTGTCAAGGTCTCCCCCAAACGGGCCGAAGCAGCCCTGATAGAAGCTTTTGCGCACAAACTCCTGCACCAGGAATACATGAAGCAAAATGAATATCCATACAAGTCTACCAACCCGAGAATCGACCCCATAGCCCTGGGAAGTTCCAACATTGAGGGGGCCCTTGACAGAAATCACCTCCAAACATGTCTCCCCCAAAACATCTGTTTGGCTCAAACAAATGTACAAAAGTGGCACCTTGCTACATGGAACCAAAGACTAGCACCTGTGTAGCACTAGCCCTCTTGTTTTGCGCCACAGATGAGTGAGAAACTATTTGCCGAATAACTTTGGGGCCGAGTTTGGGGTGTCCAACTTGATTTCCACCAAGTAACAGATGTCAAAATTTGAGGGACAGCTTATTGTGCTTGACCCCCCAGATCGTTGACTCTCCAAACTTCCCCGAACCTTACCCCCTCACCCTGTTTCCGTCAAATGCCCTAACTTGCAGCCTCAATGCGTTTGGAGGAAAGCAAGGGGAAGGTTTAGTTGTGTTTCCGGCGGGGAAGTTGGATCCACAAGGCGAGGAGATCCGAAATGACGGGCCGTGTTGAAGAATGGGTACGTGTCAAGATAAAGAGACCCCAACAGTGGCTTCAGCGTTCCGTTTGGTTTCCCTTTACATCAAGGTTAAAGGGTACCCTCAAGAACACACACCCACATACAGGGGTCGCTTTATCCCATCGCACGCGCACACGCGCGCACAACCGCACAACCGCACAAACGCACAACCGCACAACCGCACAACCGCACAAACACACAACCGCACAACCGCACAAGCGCACAAACGCACAAACACACACAAGCGCACAAACGTTCAAGCCCACAAGTGCACAAGCCCACATTTCCACAAACACACAATCACGCAAGACTCACAAGCCGCACAAACACACAAACACACAAAGACAAACACAAAAAACACAAACACATACACACAGACACAGACACAGAGACACACACACACAGACACAGACACAGACACACACACAAACACACGCACACACCAAAGACACACACACACACTACAACATGCACCCACGCACGCACGCACGCACGTACACACACACAAACAGACACACACACACACACACAGAGGCACAAAAGTCACACACTTACACGAAGACACACACACACACAAACACGCACTCTCACAGACACACGACGACGACGACGACGACGACGACGACGACGCAAGGACGACAACAACAACAGCAGCAACAACAACCACAACAACAACAACAACAACAACAACAACAACAACAACAACAACCGTAGCAGCAACAACAACAACAACAACAACAGCAGCAACAACAACAATAGCAGTCAACAACAACAACAACAACAACAACAACAACAACAACAACAACAACAACAACAACAACAACAACAACAACAACAACAACAACAACAACAACAACAACAACAACAACAACAACAACAACAACAACAACAACAACAACAACAACAACAACAACAACAACAACACAACAACAACACCAACAACAACAACAACAACAACAACAACAACAACAACAACAACAACAACAACAACAACAACAACAACAACAACAACAACAACAACAACAACAACAACAACAACAACAACACCAACAACAACAACAACAACAACAACAACAACAACAACAACAACAACAACAACAACAACAACAACAACAACAAACAACAACAACAACAACAACAACAACAACAACAACAACAACAACAACAACAACAACAACAACAACAACAACAACAACAACAACAACAACACACCAACAACAACAACAACAACAACAACAACAACAACAACAACAACAACAACAACAACAACAACAACAACAACAACAACAACAACAACAACAACAACAACAACAACAACAACAACAACAACAGCAACAACAACAACAACAACAACAACAACAGCAGCAGCAGCAGCAACCACAACGACAACCACAACCATAACCACACCCGCAACCACAACCACAACCACAACCACAACCACAACCACAACCACAACCACCACAACAACAACAACAACAACAACAACAACAGCAACAGCAACAGCAACAGCAACAGCAACAGCAACAACAACAACATCAGCAACAACAGCAACCACAACACCATAATAACAACAACAACAACAACAACAACAACAACAACAACAACAACCAACAACAACAACAACAACAACAACAACAACAACAACAACAACAACAACAACAACAACAACAACAACAGCAGCAGCAGCAGCAGCAGCAGCAGCAGCAGCAACAGCAACAGCAACAGCAACAGCAACAGCAACAGCAACAGCAACAGCAACAGCAACAGCAACAACAATAGCAACAACAACAACAACAACAACAACAACCACAACCAACAACCAACAACCAACAACCAACAACCAACAACCAACAACCAACAACCAACAACCAACAACCAACAACCACGACCGCAACAACAACAACAACAACAACAACAACAACAACAAGATCAGCAGCAGCAGCAGCAGCAACAACAACAACATCAACATCAACAACACAAGAGCAGGCAACAGCACAACAACAAATCAGCACGCAGCAACACACAAGAACACACAAGAACACACAACAGCACGCAACACACAACAACACACAACAACACATAACAACACATAACAACACATAACACAACACACAACACACAAGGCACCACGCAACAGGCAACACGCAACACACACAACACGCAACACTCAACAAGCAAAACACAACACACAACTCGTAACATGCAATACGCAACACACAAACCGCAACCGAGAACCTATAACACGCAGCACACAACACGCAGCACAGAGCACACAGCACTCAGCACTAGGTACACAGCACACACAAACACACACCACAACACACAACGCACAACACAACACACAACCACAACTCGCAACACAGAACACACAACACACAACACACAGCACACAGCACACAACGCATAACAGACAACACAACACACAACACACAGCATTCCCTCAAATTCTGAGTTTGTCCTGCTGTTTTTCCCCATCCCAAAATTAAGTGTCTCCAATTTTAGGCTTTCCCTTCAAGTTTTGGGGCACGCCCTCAGCGCTCGCGATCGAAGGCAAGATTAGTTGGTGGCGGCGATCGTGGCAGGCCGGAAACAAGCGGGGCGGGTTCAGAAATGGTCTAAAGAGTTGTAGGTGTAAAATATGATGTTTATATATATATATGTTAGTATTGGTATGCGTGTCCGTTTAATGGAGTCTAAACTTTCTTCTTTGAAGGGAAGTCAAAGGGAACCGCCCATTGTACGAAGGGCTGAATGATCACACAAACACATGATATCATCCTCTGACCATGGCGGTTGGTGAAGAATTGCAGTCCAGAACCCCATTCGGGTGTCTCCTTTTGGTAACCTTTGTGAGGGTGGGTTTAGTGGGAAGCAAAAGAAACACCGATGCCATTTTAAGAGTCCCCCATCCCACTTTGAGACAAACCATTCTAGCTATTATGCAAACCCTTACCGTACAAGTATGTAAGGGCAATGCTGGTTTTTGTGGCAACCAAAGGCAAACCACTCCTTGGGCTGGTATGAGTAGAGTTTTCATCGTAGACCTTTTGGTGGATATCATTTACACGGGGAATCATGTCCACCGCCAGCCTTTCTTGAGGGGTTCCCTATTGTTGAGAAATGCGTACTGTATCTCTCAAATTAAGACGGTATAAAAACACATACTCATTAGGGGTCCACAACTCTTTGTTGACATATCCCCCAGTTATGGACATACCTCTTGATTGTTGTTGTTGCTTTCGTGTCTCTTAACACCAGTCTGACAACCCCAATTTGGTGTGCATTTGGGTCAATCAACAATCGCACCAGTCTCTTTTCGGGCCCTTGCTTCTAGTTCAGGGGATGGCTGCCTACACACGTAGGTATGTATATATATGCTAAGCACTTCCTCCAAAACCTTGCCTTCGCTGCAAAAACACACACGCACACCCGAAGTCTACTTGTTTGCAGCTATAATTGTACACCCAAACTCTCGCGGGATGTCAGCTGGTTTCAACAGATGGTGGCTGTTTCTTGGGGCCAGGACGGCGCGTGGGTGCTGCTAGAGGCAGGAAGTGTCACGTGTGGCTTGCCTCTTCTCGTTGAGCGGTGTCAATAGGACAGAAATAGGAAAGCACAAAGGGCTGAGCATGCCAGGATAAATGAGGGGCTTTGTATTATTAGGGGGCATTGGCCTTGAAGGGGTAACCCCCCTTTATGAGGCTTGTCAAACCTTGATTGTTGAATCAACATCAAGACGACAGGTTTTGTTCACCTATGCAGGGCGCTTTGGAGAGATCCTGATTTCAGGTGTGTGAACTCTTATTTGAGATCTGTGGCCTTTTTCTGGCATTTTTGTCATTTCGGGGTTTCCCGGGGTGGTTTCATTCTTGGGCCAAGCGGCACCCCCGCTAAAACCGGACCTCTTTTGGATTGGGAACAGCAAGACTTATAAGCTTTTTGGAGGGATTGGCCCCCGAAACCTTTTGTTGCCAGGAGCCCCGGCTGATGTCAAGAGAGGGGAAGATGTGAAACGAAATGTTTGCCCTTGATTGGCAACCCCCGTCCCCCCTCGAGGTTGACAAGGTCCAGACAGGGTCTTGAAAGCATGTGGCGCCGGCTACCTTGAGATTGAGAGACTTCGTATTGAGGTATTAGAAATCTGTGTTTGTTTTTTTTTGCAAACTACGAAGTGTTTTATTCTTCTTTTGTTTTTCTTTCTTTTTTTTCCCGTTGGAGTTTCGGGAGGCCGGGCCAAAGGTCTGAAGGACCTGGTCTGGCGGTTACTCTCCCACCCCCCCCCCCTTTTTGGTGGCATTTGCATCCATGTTTTGAGGTCCTTTTTTGGGGCGAAGTTCTTCGCCTTTCCGCACAGCTGCGTTTGCCTTTGTGTCGTCCGCGAAAGGGGGTTTTCTTGCTGGTTCGATAAGGCATGAGAATAGGAGTGACCCCCAAAAGAATCATCTTTAATTTAGTGTCCTTTATTCGGGAATCTTCAAACGGGTCATTCCCAACACCCGGAATGGTCATTCATTCCCTGCTGCGCACCAGCGAGTTTGGCCGTTTACTCAGCCTGATTCGTGCAGGTATTTTGTGTTGGTAATCTGATATGAATGCCTGGGCAGGGAAGCAGCGATGACCTCTTCTCGAATGTGGAACTGGTGCTTCGCTTTTCAGGTTGACTTGCTAGTGTTCTCTATGAGCTGAGTCGGATCCGGCGTGGCGTGGGTGGGACATTGTCAGAAAAGACCAAGAGGGCCTTTGAAGTGAGGTAGACCTCCATTTGCTTAAGAATATGTTTTATTCTCCCTTTATGGTGTTGAAAGGAATTCATCACTGCTGGAAATATTCCGTTTTTTTTCTTCTTCTTTTTCCTGGGGCCTTAACGGCCCCTTTCTTGCTCCTGAGAACTTGCAATTGACAAGGCTGCTCAAGATATGGGTCCCGAAGTCAGGGGAATTTTACAAAAAGGGATGCCTAGACGAGGTCCCGATGATTGAGACATACGTCTCTTCGGCTCCCCCAGACCACACTGACGCGATGTCCTTCGGTGTTGAAAGTCACATTGCGCTTTGGTTTGGATCACATCCATCGAATCGGTTCAGAGTCCCTTAGCTTCGGAGGTACTTAGACTCCTTTTTACTCCCAAAAGCCATCCTCATGAGGTACTTGACTCGACCTGAGTTCTCTTTTGGGCGCAAAGCGCGCCAAAAAGTGCTTTGCAACCGCAGAACACAGTCTGGACCTCCCCTTTTCGAGATGTCCTACTAGGTCCCCCAGTAGTGCCCTTTTACCCTTTTTTGGGATAGAGTCCCCCTGCTAGAAATAGACTACAGAAAAAAGGGCACCCTTATTCTAACCTCTCTACTGGAGGACCTGGTCCTTTATAAGAGGAAAACTGAGCGATGCTGTCCACTTCGCCGAGACGAGACGGATTTCTTCAGGTGGCGTTGAGCATCGCGCTCTTCGTGCTCTGCACCAAGGCTCAAGTGGCGGATGTGTTGAAGAGGTGTTATGAAGCGTTTATGGGCTTCCACTTGCTTTTTTTTTTTTAATCTTTCCCCTGTTGGTAATCTATCACTACTGGCGAATATGTCTATTTTTTCCAGGGGGCTTAAGCAAATGGAAGTGGTGTTGAGTGTTGCTAGAGCGGTTTAGCATGATTAGCATGGTTTACAATTCAGAAAGGCAGATGAACAAGGATGCCGGGGTCCGTACGGCGATTAAGAGTTGTTGAAAGACTTTCTCCTTCCAACAGCTGCTTTTTCCTATGGCCCAAAGCCAAGTACTGTCCAAAAAGCGGCTGGGGCTGGAAATAATAAGTTGGCCTTCCTCGGGACCCTGACTTTGGACTTCCAAAGCAAAGCGTTGGCCCCATCGGAGCCCGAGGGCTTCCAGCGAGATCTTCGTTTTTCGCTTGGAGAAACGGTGAACACATCCAGCAGCCTCTCAGCACCCCGTTTACCCAGGGTCCCACGCGAAGAGCTTACCACGAAGAGGGGCCCATAATTTTCCGCACGAAAGGGGCACAAAGGGACGCGTAGAAGCTCAGAACAGGGCTCCCTCTCAGTTGTGAAAACCTTATCCAGCCAGTGTAGCGCGGTCCAATGTCCTGCATAACGGAAGGGGGGTCCGACATGATTTTGCTCGAAAGGGAAATGTAGAAGCCCTCTTCGAGCGGGTCCAGTATCATTTCCTACAAGGGAAGATATGTTCGGAGTTCTTGCAAAAGCGAAGTGTAGAAGCTACATGTGGCGGGGTCCAACATAAATCTCCAAAGGGAAGTCTAGAAGCCCACTTTGGGTCCAGCATTCTTTGTGTCACAAGTTCCTCCATGGATATATTTTTCAATTTAGTTGCACATATCACCTTTTTAGTGGTTTTCCCAAATGGTCACCCCGTGGAAAGGATTTGATCAACCCCCCAAATGGCCATGGGTCAAAATCCAAATCGATTAGCCCCCAGTGAACATCCGATTCAATCCAACCACTAAAATCGGAAGCCTAAACTGGGTGGTGAATTCAATCCCCACTAAAATAGGTTCTAAAATGGGTGGTGAATTCACCCAATCCAACCAAAACGGGATACAAGTGATTTTGACAACCACAGCCATATCCTAAGGAACCCTTATGTATGCCGGTGGGAGGGAAGGTTTTGGGCTGAGCCACCGCCAAATGTTGGGCTGCACCGAACACCTCGGGGCCTCGGCAGGGCGCGCTGGTCGGGCAGAGCTCCGAGGCGAGAGCAAGCCACCGGATTGGGCGTGTCCTTTCGAGGGCCCGCCCAAAGTGGTGGCCTTGTTTCTTGACTGCTGGGCTGGAAAAATCAGACTTGGACTTTGTTGGTGGAAGTCAAGTTGGGAATTTTCCGTACTAAACCCTTCAAAGAGTTGAGCACTTGTTGCAGGGGGAGAAACTGCAACCAAGATTTGTGGCTTGCTATCAGTGTTCCTTTCGTTCGTTCAGTCTGATAGAACTATGGCATCACAACATCACACAGACGTCATATCATGACGTAAAGCATGAGCACTTGGCAACATCAGCACTTGACAACACTTGACATCAGAAGTTCATTTCGACCATGGCCTCCTTGAATGAGCGTGTGAGACTTTTGGAGCAGTCGGAGGAAGTCAATGAAGCATGGGCTGATAACATTGACAGTAGGCTGATGGACATCTTCGAGAGACTTAGGATGGCCAAGTTTTGCATGCGAGCAGGCACAAGGAGGAACCCTCAAAAAACAGTCAACCACATTTCAAAGTTGATGGGCCGTACGATTGCCAACCACAGACATGCTGCTCGGCGCCATAGCAAACTGCGCCTACCGAACATCGTTTGTGCCAAGGCCAACACATCTTCATACACCAAGCTACGGGTACTTCCCCATTCTTTCCAGGCATCCTTCTTTCTACAAAACCACCCAAAACCCTGCAGAAACAGCTGGTTTTTGAAAAGAACGATGGTTGAAAAGAATGGGGAATCAACCCCTAGAACCAATGATCTACATTCTCGAGAGCCGGTGCAGTTTCAAGCGCTAACGCTGTCGGATTCTTAATCCTAGTCGTCCATCGTGCTCTTTGAGTTTGCAGTTGAGCGGTAGATGGCACAACCTCCCCGTGTATTTGGGTTTCATCATCCTCTTTACAAGGGAATATGGCCATGGGTCAAAACCCCGTACCCCCCAGTGAACATCCCAATCCCCACTAAAATAGGTTCTAAACTGGGTGGTGCACCCACCCCTAAAATGGGATCCCATTGGTTTTGAACCATGGCCAGATGGCCATCCACCTCCCTCACGGAGTTTCAGAGCCATGGACCCCTTTGTTGGATCTTGAGGCTGCGCAGCTGTTAGGGTCTCACCCTAAAAGGGTTTGTTGATCGTGTGAGAACAGGGGGGGACCCACGCATGGTGGTTGACTTGTTGGTCTCCCTTTAGCAAAATCAGCTCAAATAGTGTTTGCTCAACCCTCCCATCTTGGAAGTTTGGGAGTAACAAACCTTTGGTTAATTAATGATTTTGTATGGGGCGGTTCATCCTTGCTCGGTTCAAATTGTTTCATGTCTGCCATTGTTCGATGCTCCCGCCCTTGTTCAATTCCTTTGAGACAATCAACCACGTATCGTTCGATCTTTTTGGAATCCTTCTTGTTCGATCTGGTGTTGTTGATGCTCCATACCACCCTGTGTCCATGATTTTTTCGGGTGATTTTAGGCCATACCACCCTGTGACAATGATTTTAGGCCATACCACCCTGTGTCAATGATTTTTTCGGGTGCGTTTGGTTTTTACTTTTGGTCCTTTCTGGTCCTCGTTTTGATTCCTAGGCTCCCCCCCCTTTCAGGGAGACATGAACGACAGGGTCCTCGATTCGCTTAGTTCATGGTTGAGGCAAACAGGTTATTAGGCCCATTTTCTGAGCCAAGGTCCCGTGCCAAGTGATCGGGTACCATTCACTGAAAAGGTGTCCCTCTTAACATAATCGTGGAAGTGAAGAAGTTTTGAAAGACTACCCTTCTCTTGAACGGCCCTTTATCCACAATTGTTAGAACAAGGGGGACAAACGACAAAGGACACTTTTAGAACGGGATGGTTTACATGCCCCTTGTGAAGGAATGTCCAACGGTACAGTAGCCAACCCATGCGCACACTTTCAGGAGAAGGCGAGGAGCTTCATCCTGCCAGATGAGCAGGCTCGATTTGTTGTCATAGGCGTCCTTTTTAGGTTAGTTTGGTTAAAAAATGATGGCACTGGTTTAGATGGGTTTAGTTCCATTTACCAGGCCCATCTATTTTTCCAAAAGGCCACCTATGTTTGTTGTCGGAAAGACACAACTTGAGTCGGGGTAGTCGGATAAAAAAAAGGGGTCAGGTCACACGATCATTTGTGCAGTTAGCCTCCTCTCCAACACGGAACCTGACTGATTGAGGGGTGCTGGTTTGGACAATTTTCGTTTCAATTCTCAACAAGAGGGTAATCCGTTCCCCCTATTACTAAAGGTCTCCCTATAATAATAAATGGGCATGGGTCAAAATTCAACCACCAGGGGACCACAGGTTTTAGTCCTTGTTTCCATTTACCGGAGTTCCATTTTGGGTACCTATTTTTGACCCACTCCCAAGTAATTGTTTCCAAAGTGGGGGGGGGGGGCGGGGCGCGTTTTATTGTTAGGGGGAGAGGGTTACCTAGCTGGAGAAAATCAAGTTGTTGGGGTGTGCTCGGGGCGGCCGGCGTGAGATTCAGCAGCCTGCTGCCTTCTCCGTCGGTCAGGAGTCCCTCTTCAGAGACCCTCTTCCCCTGCTTCCTCCAAAGGTTGTAGTTTCATTGAAGGAACAAGCAACTGTTTTCTTATTCGTTACAGTTTCATTGGAAAAAAGTTGCTGGAGGAACAGCAGAACTACCTGGATCCTAAGTCGATGTTTTCTTTTCCAGCAACCGCGACTGCTTATAGGGTGAAGTGTGTGTGCGTGTGTGTGTGTGTGTGTGTGTGTACGAAAGCGAACGCAACTTGGCCATCCAGGTGCCAAATTCCCACTTTCGAAGCAAGCGACCCCCTGAGAAAACCAACGGATGCTGGGCAACTCGATTCCTATCGGGCAACCCAAGAGGGGCGAAAAGAGCTGCGGGGCTGACGCGGGCGCTTCTTAAAGATGGGTACATTTGGTCTCCCCTAAAGCAGGACATGTGCAGGTGCACCCCTCAAATGGCAAGGCTGGAACTTCAACCGTGACAATGATCATGCTGGATTCGAAAACGTCGCACCCTATTCACCTGACTCGGGTGGGTTGGAGGTTGTGCAAGTTTGTGTTGAACATAACAGGTGTGTCTTTTTTAGTGGACCCCAAATGCTGCGCGGCTTCGGGGTTGTAGTACAACCTATGGGTATGGTTTTTTATTGTCCCTGGAAAAAGATGGCGTTCATGTGATTTTCCTTCAAAGCTACGAAAAAAAAGGGTGCTTTCGGCCCTCAAACAAAAGTAGTCATATAAGCCTTTGTAAGGTCACAGGTCACCTGAGCCGCCCTCAAAACCCAATCGAAATTGGTCGACTTCGACCAACCCAATCGCTAGCATTGGCCATTCAGCTCGGACATGGAAGTGGAAAAGACGGGTTCGGCCGTCGACCTCCTGTAACGGGTTTTGGTCCAATCTTAATCATCCCTTCGATGTCCGGAACGAGGTGGCCCGGAACTGCCAGAAGGCCCTGCGATGCGTGCTGGTGGTGATTTGTTTCACCACGCCCTGGCTCCAGAAGCACAAGCTCTTCGAGCGTGCCAACGGCAACTGGCCCAACATGGCCACCTAGCAGCAGGGGAGACCGGTTTTGACACGCCTGTGTTTCTTGGGAACTAAACACACTATGCAATTGGCCCAC